GACCACATCACCGAGCAGCTCCACAAAGAGGCCGCCGTGATGAAGGAGCGCAGGAAGTTGAAGGAGGAGAGGCAGGCTAGCCGCGCCCCCGGCGGAGGGGGGACAGGTGGGAGCTCATCCGCCGCGGCCCAGGGGTTGCAGCAGAAGGTGAACGCCCAGGCCGCCGAGATCCGCAGGCTGATGGACAAGGTCGGTGAGACTGCACCTGCTGGCGACGGAGGCGCCGGCGGGGGACGCGGCCGCGGTGGCGGCCGGGGGGCCAAGTAGCCTACGGCGCTCCCATGGCGGTCCCGCGGGAGCTGCTTCCAGTGGCCATCCCCGCGGGCCCGCCGCCCTCGCCCCCTGTGGGCGCCTGCAGCCGAGCTGTGAGGAGCCGCCTCCGCAAGAGGGAGCACCTCCACGCCTGGACGCTGGTTTCAATTAATGAGCTGTATGGCCACGGGTCGCTGCCCGCCGACGGCAAGTCTTCGCTCGCGCAGGAGTGCGGGCTGGAGCATGTCAGGCGCGTGGTGGAGGACGCCGGGCCACCGCCAGCTTGCACCGCCGCGGCAGCCCACCGAGAGCTGTGCGGACCTGGGCACGGCTACGTCTTCGAGCCGGAGCACATTGCGTCCTGCGACCGGTCCCTGGTCTCTCTGCCGAAGGGGGGCGGCCTCGCTGATGGGAGCCGCATCCTGGAGGGAGAAGCTTTGCAGCAATGGGTAGGATGGAGGCAGCTGTTGAAGCGACAGCCCGAGGGCGGCAGCCAGGCGCCCAAGCCCCACTACGACGGCAAGTTTCGTTCCCGATCTACCTACGCCCAGTTCGTCGGCGACCTGTTGGATGCCGGCGTGGTCTCCCTGACGCAGCAGCGGGAGGAGACGGTGGGCGCCTTCTTTATGCACAAATCGAATGGTATGCAGCGCTTAATTATTGACCCTCGGCGTGTCAATGACTTGTTTGAAGCTCCAGCGCACGCAGTGCTCCCGACAGCGGGGGCTTGGTCAGCGTTGGAGGTCCCCATGGACCAGGAGTTGCACCTCGCCCAGGCCGACGTGGACAACGCGTTCTACAGGATCGGCTTGCCGCGGGGGGCGCAGGAGATGTTCGTTTTGAGAGCTGTCCACCTTCCCACCCTGCTGAAGCTGAGGCCTGACCTGTCAGACCAGCTGCCGCCAGGGATCGAGGCGTGGGCGTCACCTTGCCTAGAGGTGCTTCCCATGGGGTGGACATGGAGTCTCTACTTTTGCCAATGCATGGTGATGGCTGGTGTTCAGGCCGCTGGCTTCGCCCTGTCCGACTTCATCCAGGATCGCCGTGCAGCCCCTTCGGTGACGGACCGCAACCGTGTGGCCGTCTACGTGGACGGAGTTGCTGTGGTGGGGCTGGAGGCTAACCTGGTGACCTCCGACTGCGAGCGGGTCGCCGCGAAGCTGGAGGCGCTGGGTCTGAAGTGCAAGGGCGTGGAGGCGGCTGGCTCGGACACCACCTTCACGGGCCTGAGCTTCGAGGTGGCCTCTGGCAAGATACGGCTTTCTCGGTCGCGGACGTGGAAGTTGAGGCTGGCCCTCCTGCACACGGCCTCCCGCGGGTGGGCCTCGGGAGACGAGCTTCGGCATCTCCTTGGCCACTGGTGCTGGGCAGCGATCCTGCGGCGCGAACTGCTGAGTGTGTTCGCGCAGACGTACAGGTGCATCGCCCTGGCCGGCTCCAGGAGGTGGAGGCTCTGGCCCTGCGTGGAGGCCGAGCTGCGGCGTGCCGCGGCCTTGGTGTGCTTCGCGTTCGTGGACGCCAAGCGGCCCTACAGCACGGTCGTGACCGCGTCCGACGCTTCGGGGGCCAGCCGCCACGACTTCGGCGGGCGCGGCGTGATGGAGACGGACTGGGACCTGGAGAGCGTGAGGGCCGCGGCCGGCCAGGCCGAGAAGTGGCGGTGGTGTGTCTCAGATGCCATCGCTGCTCGCGCCCAGACGCTCGGCCTGCCGCAGGAGCAGGGACCAAAGCGTCCAATGTCTCGCCAGGCAGGAGTCACTTTCGAACATATCACGCCCAGCCAGATGGGCGACGACAGCAGCTGGCGCCTCTGCGCAAAAGGTCGTTGGCTTCGTCATGAGAACATCCTGCGTACTGAGGGGCGAGGGGTTGTACTGGGGCTTCGGCATCGTCTACGTTCCCGGGCGTCCCAGGGAGCTCGTCACTTGTTCCTTTGTGATAACATGTCCATGGTGTTGGCCCTCAGCAAGGGCCGGGGATCTACTTCAACAGTCAATCGTACGTGTCAAGAGGTTCTTGCACTCAGTTTGTTTGCCAACGTTCACTGTTGTTTCAGATGGATAGCGTCAGAGATAAACCCAGCAGACCGACCGTCGAGAGCGTGGCCATCTCGGCCCGAGCCGCGGGACCCTCGGTCAGATCCACGATCGGCATGGTACCTTGATGCTCACGCGGCCGCCGCCCGCCTCGACCTGGCGCTCGAGGGGGAGATCGACAACCACCTCCTCCGCCAGCCAGGCGGGGCAGAGGCGGCCGGCCTCTGCGGCCTCGGGGACACCTGGCTGGACGAGCCTGCGGCGGCCTTCGGTCGGCGGGTCGAGCCAGCCGAGTCGCCACCCAGTGGAGCTGCCGAGGCGGCGTGGAGCAGCTCTTCAAGCAGCTCAGGCGAGGAGGGGCCGACGTGCGACGCTGAGGCAGACGCAGAGAGAGGCAGCTCAGGAGGCGGCGGCCGCGGGCCTGGGCTACATGCAGGCATCGCGGGCACAGCCGCAGACGGTGGCCTACTACCGGGCCATCCTGAGCGAGTTCGAGAGGTGGGCCGAGGAGCAGGACCTCAAGTTGGAGACGCCGGAGGAGATGGACCAGGCCCTGTCCGCCCACATGGACTCGCTCTTCTTCGAGGGCTACAATCACGATCAAGGAGAAAAGTTGATAGCAGCCGTCAAGTACTACGACGTGCACGGGGTGTACCAGTCCGTGGAGGCGCTGCCCAGGGCCCGCGCAGCCTTGAGGGGCTTCCGCAAGCGGGCCCCGGGCCAGTCGCGGGCGCCCCTGCCGCGGCCATCCACGGGGGTGTCTCACTGGGCGCTGCTCCTGTACCACGAGGAGAAGCAGCCCAGGAGCAAGACCGGCCAGTGGGACGAGGGTTGCCTGCTGGACAGCGACAGGGTGACGGCGATGGGGCCGCTGCTGCAGGCGCTGGTGCGTCGTGCCGGACCGAGTCAGCCGTTGTGGTCCTTCTCAGCCGCGCAATTCCGAGTGCTGTTCCGCAAGGTGGCGCAGTTGGCTGGCCTCCCGGACTTGAACCCCTACCAGGTGCGCCACGGAGCCGCCAGCGCCGACGCTCTCCACCAGAATCGAGACATGAAGACCATCCAGGAGAGGCTGAGGCATGCTCAGGAGTCGTCAACACGACGGTACAAAAAGCACACGAGGTATCTCCGCGAGTTAGACCAGCTGGCGGCCGACACGAAGCAGTACGGAGACTACGTGGATGCCAACTTCGAGGCGCTGATCAGCAAGCGCAAGGCCGTGGCCGCGCCTCCAGGGGCAAAAAGGCCGCGGCGTTGGCCGCCGGCCAGCTCTGGCGCTCAGGAGACACTCTTGCCTCTGCCCTCCAGCTGTCGGCCGCGTCGGTCAGACGCAGGCTCAGGGCCGCGTTAGACCAGGCGCTAGGCCGCCAGCCTCGGAGGGCACAGACTTTTCTGGATCTTTTTGCGGGGACAGGCCGTGTCGGAAAATGGCTGGAGAGGTTGAGCGGACTGCCGGCCCTCCGTCTCGATGTCAAGGCTGACCCTGCTTTTGATCTGTCATCCGACGCAGCTCTTAAAGTAGTTCGAGGTTGGATCGGGAGTCGTGTCGTGCGGGCCGTGTGGCTCGCCCCCCCGTGTTCAACGTGGAGCGTTGCCAGCCGAAACACATTCCGCGCGCCTCAGCATATATATATATATATATGGTCGGCCCGACCTCTCCGACAAAAACGCAGTCAAAGTACAGTTCGGCAATGCAACAGCTCTCTTTTCCGTATGTGTGATTCGTGCGTGCTTGAAGGCAGGGATCCCAGTGGCCATGGAGAATCCCTAGTCTAGTCTCCTCTGGCAGTGCCCCGCCCTTTTAGATCTCACGCGCCTAGACAATTGTAAAGAGTTTGTCACACACATGTGCCAACATAATCGTGCCTGGAAGAAGCCCACTAAAGTCGTGGGGTGGAATGTAGGGGCTCCGCCTAAGGCGTTGTGTAAACGGTGTTCCGGGGTCCTAGGGATGTGCAGCCGCACGCTCCGGCCTCATGTGGCCCTCCAGGGCCGCGGACCCGGGGACCCCAGGAACCTGACCGCCCGGGCCGAAGAGTACCCTGACTCCTTCGCCCGGGGTGCCGCTTCTCTGCTTGTGCAGGCTGCCGACCGGATCCAACTCAATCATCTCGCGTCTTTGACTTTGTGAGCAAGCTCATGCGGCTTGGCCAGAGTAAATTCGGGAAGATGGGAGCGAGCGCGCTCTATTATAAGTTCCGTTCGCAGCAAGCACCAGTGTCGTCCACCCTTGGCAGCCTGCCACCTCTCTGGAAAATCATCTGCGTTGGCAAGCGGGAGTGTTCAGAGCAGGGTTCAGTTTTCCAAACGTTAGTGCTCTCAGTTTCAGCGCAGCCGCCTCGATAAACCGATGTACATCCATGGACATCGGGCTCAAGTGCACCACCTCCCCCCCCTCCTCCTGCTTTCCTTTCTTTCATTATATATGTCGTCAATGCTGGGGAGCGAGCGCGCTCTATTATAAGTTCCGTTCGCAGCAAGCACCAGTGTCGTCCACCCTTGGCAGCCTGCTACCTCTCTGGAAAATCATCTGCGTTGGCAAGCGGGAGTGTTCAGAGCATATTTATATACACACACGTGTAGAGAGATAACAAAACATATAAGAAGAATAACGCTGGGGAGAGACCAGCTGAGAAGGTACATGCAGTGCAGTACCGTGCTGGACCTTTCAGGCGAGTTGGTGTTGCTTGCCCCCCCCTCCCCCCCCCCCTCGAGGCGCAGGCCGAGGTCCCGATTCGGGACGGGCCTGTTGCGCTGAAGGAGACCTCTGCGATGCGAGTTCCTGGGAGGAGGGCGTGTGGGCGGGGGCAGAAGGAGAGTCGGGGGCAGGCATGAGGAATACGATGGGGAGGATGAGGAGGAGGAGGACGAGGAGGAGAGGGAGAGGAGGATGAGGAGGAGGAGGAGGAGGAAACGGGGGGGGGGGGGATGGAGGAGGAGAGGGGGGGAGGCGGATGAGGAGGCAGATGATGACGATGATGATGATGATGATGATGATGATGATGATGATGATGACGAGGATGCGGATGATGATGGTGATGCTGATGATGCTACTTATGTTGATGCTGACGATGATGATGATGCTGCTGCTGATGATGATAATGATGATGATGATGATGATGATGACAATGACGATAATGATAATGCTGGTGATGATGATGACACTGATGCTGCTGATGATGATGCTGATGATGGTGACGGTGATGCTGACGGTGATGATGCTGTTGCTAATGATGATGATGATGCTGATGATGGTGACGGTGATGGTGACGGTGATGATGCTGTCGCTGCTGATGATGTTGATGATGCTGCTGCTGCTGCTGATATGATGATGATGATGATGATGATGATGAGGTGGTGGAATAAGAGGCAGGTGACGAGGAGAAGGCACAGGCGGAGGAGGAGGAGGAGGAGGAGGCGGAGGAGGGGGAGGTGGCGGAGGAGGACGAGGAGGAGGAGGATGAGAAGGAGCATGGGGATGTTGATGATGCTGATGATGCTGATGATGCTGATGATGATGCTAATGATGAGGCTGATGGTGATGATACTGATGATTATGATGATGATGATGATGATGATGATGATGATGCTGATGCTGATGCTGATGATGATGGTGATGTTGATGTTGATGTTGATGTTGATGATGATGATGATGATGATGATGATGATGATGATGATGATGATGATGATGATGATGATGATGATGATGATGATGATGATGATGATGATGATGATGATGATGATGATGATGATTGATGATGTGCTGATGATGAGGAGGGGGAGGAGGATGAGGGGGCGCAGGAGGAGGAGGAGGATGGCGGTTGGAGGATGGAGGGTTGAGGAGGAGGAGGAGGGGGATGGAGGGCGGAGGATCGAGGATAGAGGTTGGAGGCTGGAGGATGGAGGATGAAGGACGGATGACAGAGGTTTGAGGATGGAGGACTGAGGATGGAGGATGGAGTGTGGAGGATGGAGGATGGAGGATGGGGGAGGAGGACGTTTTGGATTCGGATTCGGCACGCTTGCGAAGCAAGTGCTATGAACTACTTGGGGCGGAGGCCCCCCGCGAATCGCGAACTATACGTCCTCCTTTGTGATTTGAAGGGGCTCGACGCGACTCGGGAGGCCTTGCATTTGCTCGGGCCCGGAAAACCCGCAATTCTGACACATACACACACGGTTGCTATCATGGAACAGCATGCCATGAGAGCGAGCAACAGTTCCCCCTCCTACGTGGACCGTAACCCTGCCCGAGGCTGTAGGATACCCCCGAGTCAATGACAGCAACAAGTGGTGCACACGGTGAGCCTTGCCAAGCACGGCGGGCGGCCTTCGTGGCCGAGCTCCTGCACACCTGGCAGCTCATGCCGTCCTCGGTCACGTCGTGTTCCGACCCGAGGAGAGCGACAGCGGCGGCAACAGGAGCAGGAGGCCGACGGGGAGGAGCTGGAGGAGACGAATGAGTAGGATCGGCGATGGCAGCAGCCTCGTCCTGGGACCTTCGTTTTTCCATCAACTTGCGTTCGCGATTAGCAGCGGCCGCTGCCAAGGTTGATCTCATCAAACGTTTCCGTACCAGGGCTGCCTTCTTTTCCAGTGTGCAAGCGATGCATGGTTTGCTTTGGAACTCGACACTGGACGGCCGTGACCTTGGCAAGCTCAGGGGCGTAAGTATACCACCAATTCATCCACCAGGGAATGGGAGGAGAACGAGCAATGCTGTGATTCGGGGCGAGGTGGGACGGCATCCACAACACAGCGATGAACTGAGGCTGGCGGTGCAGCAGTGCCTGCCCTACCTCATGCCACAACGGAACTAGTACACCTGAAGTGTTTTGCCATCGTTTTCCCACCAGCCACACACAGCTTTATCGTTGTCTGAAGCGAATGTGAGGTAACCCGTTCATAAGTGGAAGCCCAGGGCCAAAGCATATAACTCGCCCATGGGAACAGTCTGGTGTTTTCTTGAAAAGGGCCCAGCACATGGCAGGATAATGAAACTGCGAAGCTTCGGTAGTGCACGGGGCTTGACGAACTGCCAACGCAACGCGGCAAAACCGAGGATCTCGATAATCAGGCGCGTCCCCACAGAGTACCACTGGAGCCTCTTGGGTAGAATGTCCAAAACAACCTGGGCAGAGCTCCCCCTCAAAGTCTGTGGCTTGCCAGTTTCAAACTTCCGTTGGCGGTGCCATCGTCGTCCAGCTCCGTGGGATCCATCCCTGATGCCAAACACAAGACTCAACTTCATTGTGCTGGATCGCTTCCAAGGTGAACCCTGCTGATTCATCATGCATATGATGACCTGCGCTCTTGCGACGCAACCAATGGCGGTGAAGTGGTGTTTCAGGATCACTTCGGCAGCGCGGGCAAATGCCATTGGACGGGATGTTGGCCTCCAGTTGGCCATCCACGCGCCACCATAATTTGCGCAAAGAAGAAGAAGCTCAGCGACTCGCCGCCCACAAGAGGCATCCTGCAACTGCGTGAGGAGAAATCGAAGGCTCTTTTTGTCGGCGCCACCATTCAGGCCAACTCCACAGTTGTGGCCAGCAGCTTGTCGCCACTGTGAAGCATGCAAACTGGTGGCGGCGTCGTCCAAGAGCCCTCGGGCCGGGCCTGGGGAGTGCAGGGGGGCGGTGTTGAAGTGGCGCACGGCTTCAGTGCCCACCCAAAATTCATGCTTGATCGGGTCCCGTCCTAAGAGAAGTTGCTGCTGAATTGCAGCCGCAGGGGGCCCGCGAACGTGGCGCGCGCGCTGCTGCGGTGCAAGTGCTTTTAGCCGATTCAATGCAATCGGCCAAGCCTGTGAAATACGAGCACGCGCGCGTGGCTGATGCATCCACTCACGCAGCCATTGCCTAAACATGAAGAAGATGAAGCCGAACACCTCGATCGAGACCTGGCGCCCTCAAACCCGGAACTGTCGCGACGCGCGCCCCCCTCGCGTAGCTGCCCGAAGCCGCTGCAGGCCGCCTGCGCGCCCCGAGAAGAGGGCCCCCCCAAACCCCATCGGCCTGATGCCCATAAGAAGCGCCCGCTCGAGGCCCTGTTTGTTCGATTTTCTTCAGATGGAGATGCAGTCTGGAAGCTGCTGCAAATCGCCTAAGCTCGCGATGTTGCAGCGCCGACTTAACGACGCGTTGTCGACGAATCGCCCTAGCTTGCCTGTTCCCCGCCCCCGTGCCGGTTCCGAAATAGGGTGCTTGCGATGCGGCTTTGGGGGTGGCTCCTCGCTCGGTCAACCTTGAAACGACGCGCTCGGCCTCTCGGTGCCCCGAGCGCGAGACCGCGCTCTCGGTGGCCAAGGGTAACTGGCATGTGGAAAAATGGCCCGTAGGATCTGCGATGCTCTTGACCAGCGCATCCGCCGCACTGCGCCTGGAACCTAAGGCGCCCGAGCAAATGTAGTCGATTCATATCCTCCCCGCCCGCCCGCGCCTGGACCCATGATGCGCAGCTTCTTACTAAGTGCGAAGTAGGATAGACACCGGGCGCATTTCGCACCCCCTCGAATGCCTTGGATCACGCCCAGGGTTGGTTGAAATCCTGCCGAGCGAGCACCGCGCCGGGGCAGGGCGCGAGCCGCCGCGGGCAGCTGGAGTTCAAAAAAGGGAAGAACAAGCTTGAGAGCGGCTAGCACGAGATGCTACACCTGGATACTTCTGCAAAAGCTCTGGGCGTCGAGAATGGCCTGACCGTGCGCGACGTGAACTTATTGAGCTATTTCTGCCTCTAGAATCCGGGGGAGCTTCCAGAAGTAGCGAATCCCTCGCGATGGCCGCGTCCCAAGCGCGGCCCGTGGCCCGCGACCGTCCCCCGCTCAAACCATCGCGCAAGAAACTCCAAACTCTGCGGGAGTAAGTAATCTGCCTATGGCCCGATCTCCTCCCGCCTTCTTCGGAGTGGGTCACCCCGGGCAAATCGTCATCTGCCATGGCCATGTAAAGACTCCTCTACTGCACTGCATATTAGTTGACGAGCTCCTGGAGGACACGCTCAGGAAGGCGTTCGATCTCGACGGGGCTGACGTGGTCGACTCCAACTCCTGCGCGTGCTTTCACGCGGCTCGCTGCTTTGCGAATGTCACGAGGTTCGAGAGATACGAGGTGTTCGACCTGAGCTGCTTCCCTAACGGCGCCGAAGATGTCCGAGAGCGAGTCCGCGTCGACAGGCTGCGAGGCCTACGAGGTATGGTACGCCCGCGCCTTTGCATCTACAATATCCCGAGGATGAACGAGACGCTTTCCTTGCTGACAGACTTCGTCTGCTGCGCGTGGCACTGCGCGGAGGCAGCGATGCATAATGCCTAACGGGGATTTCTGCGCGATCCAGCCTTGGAAAGCTCGCGGCGAAGCCAGGGCAGTTCGCCGTCGCGATCTCTGCGCTACGTTCCTAACTGAACACGCATGCTGCCGGGGATGTCAGCGCCGAGCTGTGCCTGATCGCCAATCGGACAACACCAGTCCCCCCAGGGAAAGGTCTGTCCTCCTGGAGTGATAGCTGCTTCTACGCCCGCGGGGAGATCCCGCGACATCTCGCGAGAGACTGCATCAACCCGAAATCCTGGCTCCTTCTCCCCTGGACTCTGATGTCAGAAGCCGTCCCGTCTCCTGGACATCCCTGCTCAGTGGGAAGAGAAACATCATTTTCGGATAAGTGGCCGACTGTGATCGCGTTCGCTGGGGATCCCGACACTTCTGACCTCCGACCCCTGGCTATGATCATTTCTTTGGAGGAACCTAGTCTCGACCTAGGCGAGGCCTTGCCCGTTCCTAGGAACAACAACATCAGATCTCGGCGTTTTGGGCTGCTAGACAAAAGAATGCGACACTGCAGGTTGGGAACACAATATTATGACCCACGATGCGAAGATTATCGATGTTGATGATGGGACCCTGTTCGCCGACCTCCAGAGTCTACGAACGCATGGCACATTTTTGATGGTTTGAAGAAGCTATCGCCGTCGAGTTTAGCCTCGAGCCCATACATAGAGCGTGCTATGTATTCGGGGCCTCGATGCGTCACCGTCCAGGAAGCCATCTTGGATGTGTTTCGGGCGAATGGAACTGTATTGGCAGGATGTTCGCTCGCTGCCAGTTTAGTGAAAGTGTTACTTTACCGACTATGGGTTTCGATAACAAATATGTTCCCAGCTGTCCGAATATGGAGCGTAGTCGGTGACGTACATGCTCAGTGCTTAGGATCGCGCCGCCTCTTCGCTGCACAAGTAGGCGATGCCGGGCGAATGCTGGTAACAGGCAATCGTCGTCTGGATTTGGTCTCAGCAACCCACGAGACCCACTTCATTGTCTCCAGCACCGAGTTAGCGGACTCTCTGAATGCAGAGTGGAAGAACTGAGACTTCGTGAGGAAAAGCTACGCCCGCTCCCTCGGCACGGACTCTCACTCCTCCAAGAGGTGAGTGTTGAACACTGCAGGCACCAGGTTCAGGAATAGCCTTCGACGGTCGATCAAGCTCTTGAAGTTTTTACAAGCCAGCTCTTAACTTGGCCAATCCAGAGATCATGTCCATAGGTTGCTGCTATTTGGGGCCCAGGTGCATCAAGGCTTAGCGGTCGGCAGATTCATCGTATGAGGCGTGCTGTGGTGACCAGCGACCACGCGGGCAAAGTGGGCGCGTCTGTTGGCCTCAAGCTGGCCACAACCAAGATCGGCCGCGCAATGGGCCCCTCGTGCCTCTACCGCTCCCAGGTCATAGGTTTTCGGGCGCGCGCTGTCTGGATAGGCAGGCCCTCACCTGGCATCCTCCAGGCTGCGTTGGTTTCGGCTGCCGATGACCTCGGGCGGGCCCATGACCTGTGGGCCTCGGCGGCCTGTCCTGCCCACATGTTCTTGTTGTCTGTCCAAAGGCTGGGCGGGTCGGCTCCTCCCATCGCATCGTCGTCGACGCAGGGGGTGTGGGGGGGGGGGGGAATTTGGCTCGCCCAGCTTGCCTCGAAACAGGTTGTGCGGCTGGCCCATAGAGCTGCTCGCAATGTCTCGGATGTGGCCGCTTTCAGTAACGTGGAAGAGGCGCCTGGTGGGCCGCCGACCGCGAGAAGCGCTGTAGCCCGCGTTTGCCCCGCCGCGAGGCTGAACTTCAGTTGGCGAGGCAGGATCTCGATGAGGCGGCTTGCGGTATTTCCCCATGCCAATAGGGGTGGTGCATCGGCCTTTGTGGAACCATGAATGCAGTATAGTCTGGATTAAGCAGCCCGAAGTATGATCACCCATCCTGCCCCCTTTTCCAGGAGAGCCGGCTGACCCCTCGCCCAGCTTGCCGACGACGGCCCCCCTTTTCAGGAGCTGTTTGCGGGGCGGTGTTTGGGATTTTGGGCCCTTCCAGGTGGCTCGTGATGGGGCGGGGGGGGCATCCTCCAGGGTGTTGGAGGCCTCGTGCGACGCGACGTTGTCTTCCATATAGACTGCCAGGGCGCGACTGATGCTGTCAATAATCAGCATGTTCCACTTCGGTCAGGCACTCCAGGTGCCACCTCTGGGAAGAAATCCAGAGGGGGCTTCCGTCTATCAGATCGGTCAAATCGAAGGCGCAGCTGCATGGAGCTGAAGTTGATGAAGGCAGGATTTCTGAATGTGAATGGAGTGGCAACTGAGCCGCTGACATCTATGCAGGTCGTGGTGATGGCCAGCACCCGGACACCAATGATTGCAAGCACGCCTTCGATGCCTTCGGTGACATTGACGAGGAATTCGCGCGTTGGGCTGCCACGCAAGAGGTTGAATGGCCGAGCAAGAAGATTGCGAGGTCCTCCCTCTCCATCCTCGTGGGACCTCGGGGTTTGAGGTTCGCGAGCAAACGGATATCCCTTCTAGGAGCTGCCAACGGAGGCCTAAGCGCCCCACTAGATAGCTGGCTCCGGAGGTCTCGGAAGAACTCAACACGCTCGCTGCCCACCAAGGGCACGCACTGAGACAGGCCGAGGTTTTCCTTCCTTGTGGGCTTCCGCCCGCTCTGCCTAAGTGCCTCACGGTCCTCGTCTGCGATGTTTGCGGAGGATATGCTTGGGCGGCCGTCCTCAGCCTCGCCACGTATCGAGACGCTGCTTAAGCGGCGCAGTCGCGCCCGCAAGTTGCAGTTCTTCCGTGGCTCTCGCGAATACTGTGGCTGGACTGTGGGGGTCTGAAAGACCCCCACCCCGCAGGCGATCGCGGCCACGTTCGCCCCCAAATCTGCTAGGTTATGTGGGCGTATGCGAACGTCCGATTTCTCCGTTCCTAATGTGGCGGTGTGGGGGGAGTGGTGGGACGTCGATCAGATTGCTGTTGTTTTTGGCCTGTCTGCAGATGGTTTGGCTACCGCAGCTTCGGATCAATCCGAGGAGGCGAAGCGTAATGCTTTCAGATCGTCAGAAGAAGACCAGCCATAACGTGTTGTATGTGTTCCCTTTTGTTCTCAAAGGTAGACCTGCTATATGTAGCGTATTTTCTTGAACCCTTGGATTGCCTCTGGTGCCTCGGGATGTGCGATGATGAAGGAGGAGGAGCTGGAGCTTGAGCTGGAGGAGGAGGAAGAGGAGGAGGAGGAGGAGGAGGAGGAGGAGGAGGGAGAGGAGGAGGAGGGGGCCGATGCATCGGCGTTGCGACGCGATCTTCCGACCCCATTTACTCCGAACCCATCTAGGGGGAATCTAGGGACGCCCTCGTGCGCTGTGGAGTGTCTCGGATAATTGTTGGCCACCGGGAAGCCGTTGGAAACCATTTGGAGTCGGGATTGATATTGTGTCATCTTGGAGCCATCTCAGGCCCAAAAACGGCCCTCTGGTAACTACCCCTGGGGGGAAGAGTCGTGAGGGGTCGAGGCCCAGGGGAGCTGCCCTCTAACACAGCAGGTGGTCCTCGCCAGTCCCCGCGGGCGAGGTCGCGGACGTGGGCCCTGAAGTTTGACCAGGGAAAAAGGCTCAGGGTCCGTCAACTCAGGACTGCGGCCTGCGGATCCGTGCGGTCGGGGCCCCAAGCGACGGCATGCGCCTGTAATGGGTGACCTAGCTGCCACCGCTGGCATGTAATCGTTGTCGGCAGCTAAGCCCTATCGTGAATTGAAGCCCGAGATGGAGACCCGAGCTGGTGACCCGATGTGATGTCCCCGATTGAGTTGATTGGCCCCGTTGGCCAAATGTTTCAACCCTGGTTTGGTGACCCCACTTGATAGGCCTATTTGGCGCCCCCTGTCAATGCAATTCGATGTCCCAAACCGTACACCACACATTGGTAGCCCTTGTTGGCGCCCTCAAGGTGATGACCCCACTTGGTGTCCGCAGGGGAAGCCGACTCGGGCACCCTGGCGCCACCGAAGGGCGTCAACACGCTGAGATGATCCCCGAACCCGCCTGGTAGTTGCCGAGCACACGCGCGCATCCCATTGTGATGACGGACTGATATCTACGCTACAAACGTGTTCGCCTGGTGCTCTCGTGGAGAGTACGAAACCCTTTTCGTCTGACATGTTGATTACCCCTCTGCGTCAACAACTAGCTGATTACCCCCACTTGGCTGCACGATGGCGCTTCTCCAGTTGAGGATGATCTATGACCCCCAGACGCTCACACGTCAGCTACCCTGTTTGGGCCTGGCAGGTATTCAAGGCTGCCCCCGACGACCAGACAACGGACGGCAAGACCACGCAACAAGAGACAATATCATATGGGAGCGAACAGTGACATACACATGAACATTCGGAGGTCCATTTTTCTGATCGGCGGTGGACCCCCCTCCTTAGCGCGCGGAGCGCACCAGAGGCGCCGCCAAGGGGGTCCAGCGCCGATCTGAGAAATCTGCGCGGACCTCCGAGTGTTTATGTTTATGCCATGTTTCGTTCCCCTGGACAAGTCTAGACAAGACTGCGTACAAGAGGACGGACTGCTGGTTGGCCAGAGACGGCCCCAAGATGTCCCAAGGCGGGTCGAAGAGATGGCCCATTGCGCCCCAAAGGCGCTCCACGACGGCCCGAACAGGGCGTGCGGGGGAACCCGCGACGGAGCTGTGAAATGGGACGTGGGGGGAGCAGGTATGAGGAGGAGGAGGAGGAGGAGGAGAAGGAGGAGGGGGGCGACGAGGAGTAAAAGGCGGGGGATGACGGGGGGTGAGAAGGAGGAAGGGGGGGAGGAGGAGGAGGAGGAGGAGGAGGAGGAGGAGGAGGAGGAGGAGGAGGAGGAGGAGGAGTGGGAACACGCACCAAAGAGAGAAAGAGAGAGAGAGAGAGAAAGAAAGCAGGAACGAAAGAAAGACAGGAAGAGGGAGACAGCGAGATAGAGGAACAGAGACCAGGATGGCCAGAACGCCGAGCTAGAGGCGATGCTCCAGGAGGAGTACAAGCCGGGTTTCACAACGACTGTTGAAAGCGACGTGTTGCCGAAGGGGCTGAACGAGGACTCACCCGTTCCGCCGCCTGGGCATGAATGTAACCTGCGTGCAGGGCGTACATGCAAACGACCCTCCGTCTTACAGATTTAGTTTTTGCACTCGCCCTTGGCACTCGGCGTGGCCGTATCGCCATCGCCGCCACCGACGTCCTTATTGTCGTCGTCTCCTCCACTTCTGCCCAACTCACTCGACGTTTGCTTGCTTCATGCTTACATGCTCGCTGTTCCTTTTTTGTTATTCCCCCCTCTCTCTCTCTGCTCTGCTTTCGATCTCTCTTTCTCCCTATTCCTCGCTCACTCTCTCTCTCACTCTGTCCATGGAGTATTATTAGGGTTTGGAGGTTGGGGGGTGAGATCGTAGTGGAACAGAGACCCCCAACAGGGACATCGTTTTGTTTCGTTCGTGTCATGCGTGCGGGCGAGGCGAAGCTGCGTGGGCGCGCGAGAGGAATGAACCCGCTGTCCAGACACGTGGCTCGCGGTGTCCCGCGGTTTCCCATGGTGTCCCGTGGTGTCCGCCGTTGCTAGGGCGAAGCAAAGACAAATGATTCTCCCCCGCCCGCCCGTTCGTCGGTACGTCTGGCGGTGGCTCGCGGTGTCCGGCGGTTTCCCGTGGTGTCCCGTAGTGTCCCGTCGAGTGAGATCGATATTGAGATCGATATTGAGATCTATATTGAGATCGTTGTGGTGACCCGAGGTGTCCCGTGGTGTCCCAAAAAGTAAGATCGATAGTGAGATCGATAGTGAGATCGACAGTTGTCCCTTGGTGTCCCGTGGTGTCCCGTTGAGTGAGATCGATAGTGAGATCGATAATGAGATCGATGTGGTGCTCCGAGGTGTCCCGTGGTGTCCCGTTGAGTGAGATCGATAGTGAGATCGAGTGACAGATGACCGGCAGTGAGATCGAGAAGTGTCCCGCGGTGTCCCGTGGTGCCCCGTGGTGGCCCGTCGTGTCTCGTGGTGTCGTGTTGAGGCAGATCGATAGTGAGATCGATAGTGAGATCGACGAGGTGTCCGGTAGTGTCCCGTTGAGTGAGATCGATAGTGAGATCGATTGAGTCAGATGTTGGTTCCCCCGAAGGATGCTCGTATAGGTACTGAATTTCGTCTTGCGTTGAATAGAGGTGTTAACACATGCATATACACACATATAGGTATCGGAGGTTTGGGGGTGGGATCGCAGTGGAGCGGAGACCCCCCACCGGGAAATCGTTTCGTTTCGTTCGTGTCGTGCGTGCGGGCGAGGCGAAGTTGCGTGGGCGCGCGAGAGGAATGAACCCGCCGTTGCTAGGGCGAAGTCAACACAAACGATCCTCCCCCGTCCGTCCGTCCGTCCGGCGTTGGCTCGCGGTGTCCCGCGGTGTCCCGTGGTGTCCCGTGGAGTCCCGTGGTGTCCGCCGTTGCTAGGGCGAAGTCAAGACACATGATTCTCCCCCGTCCGTCCGTCCGTCCGGCGATGGCTTGCGGTGTCCCGCGGTGTCCCGCGGTGTCCCGTGGTGTCCCGTCGAGTGAGATCGATAGTGCGATCGATACTGAGATCGATAGTGAGATCGATGTGGTTCCCCGAGGTGTCCCGTGGTGTCCCAAAAAGTAAGATCGATAGTGAGATCGATAGTGAAATCGACGTGGTGTCCCGTTGAGTGAGGTCGATAGTGAGATCGATACCGAGATCGATGTGGTGCCCGAGGTGTCCCGTGGTGTCCCAAACATTGAATTCGATAGTGAGATCGTCAGGTATCCCGTGGTGTCCCGTGGTGTCCCGTTGAGGGAGATCGATAGTGAGATCGAAAATGAGGTCGACGTTGTGTCTCGAGGTGTCCCGTGGTGTCCCGTGGTGTCCTATGGTGTCCCGTTGAGTGAGATCGATAGGATCGATAGCGATACCGATAGTGATGTCGAGAAGTGTCCTGCGGTGTCCCGTGCTGGCCCGTGGTGGCCCGTGGTGTCCCGTGTTGTCTCGTTGAGTGAGATCGATAGTGAGATCGATAGTGAGATCGATGGTGAGATCGATGTGATGTCCCGAGGTGTCGCGTGGTGTCCCGTGGTGTCCTAAGGTGTCCGGTTGAGTGAGATCGATAGTGAGATCGATAGTGAGATCGACAAGTGTCATGTGGTGTCCCGTGGTGTCCCGTTGAGTGAGATCGATAGTGCGATCGATTGAGTCAGATGTTGGTTCCCCCCCTCTCCCGCCCCAACAACCTTCTTGTCACCCGAAGGGTGGTCGTATAGGTATACTTTTAGTTTTCTCTCTCTCTCTCTCTCTTTCTCTCTCTCTCTCTCTCTCCCTCTATCTTAGATAAAAGGGTGAGGTCGGAGTGGAACGGAGAGCCTCCCCACTAGGAAGTCGGTTTCGGTTTCGGGTTCGTGCCGTGCGTGCTGGAGAGGCGAAGCTGCGTCGGCGGGCGAGAGGAATGACTCTACTGTGGCTAGGACGGGTCAAGTGCCGTTGACAGCCCCTCCTCGCTCCCCGCTGGGCGGGCGGTGGCTGCGTTGTCCCGCCGTGGTGTCTTGTCGCTGTCCGCCTCTTCCCCGTGGTGAGCTGGCGGTGTCCAGGTTTCCCGGCGTGGTGTCCCGTCGGTGTCCCGTTGGTGTTCCGTGGCTGTCCCGTCGGTATCCCGTCGATGTCCCGTCGGTGCCCCGTCGGTGTCCCGTAGATGTCCCGTCGGTGTCCCGTCGGTGTCCCGTCGGTGTCCCGTCGGTGCCCCGTCGGTGTCCTGTTGGTGTCCCGTGGTGAGATCGATGGTGAGATCGAGAGTCAGGCTGATAGTGAGATCGATAGTGAAACCGAGCGAAAGAGATCGATAGTATGACCAATGGTGATATCGATAGTGAGATCGAAAGCGAGATCGATTGGACCCTCGATGGTGTCCCGATGATGTCCTGTGGTGTCCCGTCGGTGTCTCGTCGGTGTCCCGCGGGTGTCCCGTCAGTGTCCCTTTGGTGTCCCGTGGTGTCCCGTGGCCAGACCGATAATGAGATCAATGGTGAGAGAGCGATAGGTCGATAGTGAGATTGATCGAGTGAGATCGAGCGAGTGAGATCGAACGAGTGAGATCGATAGGGAAATCGAACGTGAGATCGATTGATCCCCCATGGTGCGGCGAGGGGTTCCATCGTGTCCCGTCGGTGTCCCGCGGGTGTCCCGTCGGGGTGTCTCGGTGATGAGGTCGATCGATTGGATCGATAGTGGGACCACATCACGACGCGGCATCGTCACCACGCGTCGCCGCTCACTTGGGCGCATCATCTGCATCGTCATGATCACCGCCATCGCAGTTGAAGTCAGTTGTTTTTTCTTCCCCCCCACCAACCTTCTTATCATTCGAAGGGTGGTCGTATAGGTATACATACCTATACGACCACCCTTCGGGTGATAAGGAGGCTGTGGTGGCGAATGCGGGTTTCGGTGTACGATTGGGTCGGAACGGATTTGGCGGAATCCAGTTGGGCACCAGGGAGTACCTGTTTGGCATTGTTTGGCCATCTATCTATCGATCTCACTCTATCTGCACATCGATCTCAGTATCGATATCACTGTCTATCGATCTCACAGTCGACCGATCTAACGATGTCACTATCGATCTCATTATCGATCCCATAATCGATCTCATGATCGACCTCACATTTGACCTCACGGGACACTACGGGACACCACGGGGCAACGCGCCACGGGACACGACGGGTCACCACAGGACACCGGCGGGACATTCCCGAGACACCGTCGGCCAACCGGGGGTCGTAGAGTCTTCTCGCCCGCGCACGCAGCTTCGCCTCGCCTGCAGACACGACACGAACACGAAACCGAAACCGATTTCCTGGTGGGGGGTCTTCGTTTCTTTCTTCGTTTCGAACTCACGCCCCAACCTCCGATCTTTCTATTTATTTGTTTATGTGAATATATGAGGGGAGGATGATGGTATCATGTGCGCTCGCTCTCGTTCTCCTCATTTTCCTCCCTCTCGTCCTCCTCCTTCTCCTTCTCCGCCTCCTCCTCCTACTCCTCCTCGTCCTCCTTCCTCCTCGTCTTCCTTCTCCGTCTCCTCCTCCTCTTTCTCCTCCTTCTCCTCGGCCTCCCTCCTCCTCCTCCTCCTCCTCGTCCTCTTCCTCCTCCTCCCCCTCATTTGTCTTCTTTGTTCCTCCTCATCCTTCTTCCCTGATTCCCCGCATACTTTTCTTCAACTCGCCTGGTATCTGCATCTCCCCTGTCCATGATCACTTTTTGCCTTTCCTCCTCGTCCTGTTGCTCCTCCTCTTCTCCCGCCTTCATGTCCTCAGCGTAGTCGCCGCCCATGGTCTCTTCTTGTGTTGATCTTTACATTTTTTCACCACCTCTCATGAGTCTTCAGGTTCGTCATACCTCCTGCATTTCCTCCCGTATTCGTCTCTCGTTCCCGTCATCCTCGTCCCTTCATCTCTTTCATCCCCGCGTAGTTCTCCATGCATTCTGCTATTAGTTGACCTAATTTCTTCTGAGTGTATGCATGGCCCTCATCCCTCTCGGTCCCTCCTCTTGCGTTTTGTATGCATTTCGCTTCTGCCCCATTTCTGCCCCAGTCGTTCTCGCCGAGGAGGCAAGCGGCAACGCGTAACAGCAGCCCGACCAATGCAGTGCTCCTTCTACTGCAGGGCTCTTTGCCATAACCGTCCGAGGAGTTTCTGGAGAGGCCCAGAGTGGCTCAAGTCAGATTTCACCCCTGCTCGGGGAGGCCCTCACGACGGACCCAGAGGCCCCGAAGAAGGCCGAGAGGACCCCAAGATGGAGCAAGGGGCTGAAGCACGGGCCAGTCAGAGTTCAACACCAGACCCGGTGCCCCAAAGACGGCCCGAGCTGGACTCCAAGTCGGCAGTTTCGTAGACCCCAGGGCTCGAAGGCCGAAGGAGTGACAGTGAGGCCGAGCGTGACAACGACAGCTTGCCCGTCAGAGCAGGGGGTAGTCGTCGTAGTCGTAGCAGTTGTAGTAGTACTAGTTGTAGTAGTGCTAGTAGCAGTAGAAGAAGAAGTAGTAG